GAATCATTATTGTTGTCGTTGCTTTTATTTATTTATGGGAAGGAGAAGGGGGCTATTAATTGGCCGATACGTCATCATTTGAATGAAAATATTCATCACAAAAAAGTGTCATAATAACACAATGATAGGGTCATATAAACAAATTATACATAAATGTAGCAGATCAGCTGATTTGGTTCCAAACAACGGCCGAGCTCCGTAACGATGTGAGCGAGAGAACGAAAAGAGCTGGAGTTGTGTCGAGCTAAAGTTAAAACCCTGTCTCTATCCCGCTGATTGCGTGTCTTAATTATTCATACAGCGCAGAGATCAGTCGGACAGCGCATAATGCAGTCTTTTTCAAGAGCTGAATGCGTGTTGGAGGTGTTGTATAAGATGAGGATTAAACGCGAAGACAACGGTCTCAGATCGATCGCTCTCTTGGTGGAGAATTTAAAACTTTGAAGTTTCTGGTTTCACCTCGAATAAAGAACTATGACGTAAACGAACACGTGAAAAAACATGTACCAATTGTTTTACAGTGATCCCGTTTCTCTGCAATACGTCAGTACCGGTTTTTTTAATGTATTACGTAAATTACGAATGGTAATGATATGACATGCATAAGAGCTTCTTTGTTGGAAATATTATACGTCAACGCCAGAGACTACGAAGTCTCGATTATCCGCTGAAGCAGATCCATTAGCCGAAAAAATTAAAATAGCTATGAAAAGTATATGAGTGAGTGAGTGAGTGAGTTGGGTTTAACGCCGCTTTTAACAGTATCCAGTTATATCACGGCGTGTCAGCTTAATGTGGGAGGAAAGCCCGAAGTGATGCAGGTCTCAGACGTTTACCACTTCGGTGAAACCCACGAGCACGGGTATGGTGCTGACAAACCTAGAAACATAATCGGGGCGAACCGGGATGGGATTCGAACCCACAATCATAGGTTACCAGATGTTCACGAAAAGGGTAACATCCGCCACTCACCACTTTGCCAAAATGTAACGACGTTTCAGGTATTCTTCTTCCTCTTCATCACAGTGAGTGAGTATTGTTTTACGCCGCTTTTAGCAATATTCCAGCAATATCACGGCGGGGGACACCAGCAATGGGCTTCACACATTGTACCCATGTGGGGAATCGAACCCGGGTCTTCGGCGTGACGAGCGAACGCTTTAACCGCTAGGCTACCCCACCTCCCCCTCTTCATCGGATGAATACTGAATAGAATATGTTGAGATAAAAATAGTGGCTGATGTGTACTTATAAATAGATAGAAGGTGGAAGGGTAGCCTAGCGGTTCGCTCGTCACGCCGGAGACCCATTTCGGGTGTCCCAGCCGTGACATTGCTGGAATATTGCTAAAAGCGGCGTAAAACCATACTCACTCACTTACAGACAGACAGGGTTTAATGTACAAAGATATGTAGCAATATAACGTGGAACAAGTGGATGAACGTCGGAAAAGCCAATGAGACCAAATGAAATCATAACGATGTGGCTAGGCTGGGTGTGAAAGCGTGAATGTTATCGCGTTGTCCTTGAACGTTAAACCCACCTATGCTGCCTGTTTGTTTGTTGGTTAACGTAGCACTCAGCAATATTCCAGCTATATGTCGGCGGTCTGTAAATAATCGAGTCTGGGTCAGAAAAACTAGTGATTGACATCATGAGCATCCATCTACGCAACTGGGATACGATGACATGCATCAACCAAGTCAGCGAGCCTGACCACCCGATCCCGTTAGTCGCCTCTTACGACAAGCGCGGGTTGCTGAAGATCAATTCTTACCCGGATCTTCAAGGATTCATCCTTTGTATAATATCAATAACAATTGCGACAATAATTGTTCAGCGCATTGAGACTTGTGTTTTTTTTCTATGTTAGAAGCAGCCTCGCGAGATACATTGTGAGGCAAACAGATGAGAAATGTTTTCCAATGACGTCTACCTCATGGTCACAGACACGTGTTATGGAGTTTTTGCTTTTTACAAGAATTGATTAGCGTTTTTTGGAAGTGTTTACACACCGAGAAGCGCTCGGCAATAGAAGGGGACAGCTAACAGCCCCGTGATGAAGTAGTGTCTACTCAGGGCTACTCAGGTGGTAGGTACATTTACGTGCTATTGATCGCATGATCCGATTAAGATTCAAGTATCATTGGCTTTCGCAACACGCATTACTGAGATTACTGGTGGGATGGGTCTGGGATTGAAGGAGACCATTGCCGATTGTCTGTTTCCATGGAATGATGCTCGTCAGGGTGATAAACAATGCTTGTAATAAAAAAATGATTTTCAATTTGGACACGATACCTCTAGCATGTTTAAATCGGAGTGGTTGGTTGGTTGGTTTGTTGTTTAACGCCGCACTCAGCAATATTCCAGCTATATGACGGCGGTCTGTAAATAATCGAGTCTGGACAAGACAATCCAGTGATTGATACCATGAGCATCGATCCACGCAATTGGGACCGATAGCATGTATAAACAAGTCAGCGAGCATGACCACCCGATCCCGTTAGTCGCCTCTTACGACAACCAATGAATGAGTGTTGTTTTACGGCACGATCAGCAACATTCACGCTACATCACGGCGGCCTGTGGGTATATTTAGGGTCTGATTGACCAGTGGTCAAGGGCAGGAGTGAATGACAGAGTGGGGAGGTGAGTGACAGTTACTAGGTGAAAGAGTGAGTGGAAGGTGAAATGGGGTTTAACGCCGCGTCAAAGATTATTGCACGTTCATGCACGTGTGTGTATCTGTCTGCTTGTACTAGTCTGGACTGATGCCAATTTATAGTGCTAGCTCACTGAGATACCATGCCGCAGTTTAACATGAATACCCAGCTCAGACACAGCACTGGCTCCGAACCGACCAGTCCTTGTTTTAGCCCCTTAATGCCGAGCGAAAGGCAGGGTAAGAACAAGTACCAGTGTTTATACAGTTTATACATCAAAAGACGCTAACCATCAATCAACCGTAACCAAGGCTACTACATACCACCAGCGTACCATCAACTTATCAAAGACCCCAATCAGTCTTAATCCTTTTGTTGTTTATATTACAGCCTTCACCGGCCAACATGTTTTACCCGTCTGTGTACATAACGGGCTTCTCCACTCCAGTGTAACTGCATCTTAAACCTCCTCAACTGTATCAACACTGCCTCCTATCCTGTATATATACTTGTCAACCATACTCTGTACCTCACTTGCTTGATAACGTTGTTAGAACCTACACCGAAACGTCGCTGTAATAAAGAAGTTGTTCATCCATATATCTTATCCTTACTTAGTACTTCAACTTCTAAATGCCTCTCAAAGAAGGTACAAGACTAGTTAGGAAAGAACTCCAGCATCGCAGACAATCATAGCCAGCCTCAGTACTTTCTTAGATTGGGCCTGAATACGGTCCTTGGTTTGCCAAAAATACCAATGCTGTTGGGATTCTTTATTATATTTGACCTGCATCCCCTTCAGCTTCTCCCCCACCTTAAGCCAACATACCGTGTTATAACTGAAGTGTTGTTCAAAGTGCGTAAACTTCCAACGTCCTCACAGAATTAATTAAAGCAGAAATCGTTTCTTATACAGAGCAAGGGAAGAAAAAATTAAGTTCTTCCAGCTGAGCTTCTTTTTAAATTCGGTTAAATTATTTTTGACGGCACGTCCCGAAGGCAAAAGCTGCACCGACAAAAGTGTTGATTGTCAAGTTGGTTTAACATTCCTTTGCTGGCAAGGCAAACTGATTTGCCTTTGGTGGACAGACACTCAGCATTGGGACCACGGAGTCAACATTTATGCGAAGTGGGTTTTGGAAAAAAAATGTAGACTTATGTTTAGTCTCTAAAATGAAATATTTGTTTTCCGTGTGATTTTGTCTTGTTATATATTATACAAAGGATGGATCCTTGAAGATCCGGGTTAGATTGATCTCCAGGAACCCACGCTTGTCGTAAGAGGCGACTAACGGGGTCGGGTGGTCAGGCTCGCTGACTTGGTTGATGCATGTCATCGTATCCCAATTGCACAGATCGATGCTCATGATATCAATCACTGGCCATGGCTTGTCTGGTCCAGACTTGAATATCTACAGACCGCCGTCATATAGATGGAATATTGCCGAGTGCGGCGTTAAACAACAAACAATCAAAGAAACAAGATGCCACACTTCCATTGAATATCAAAGCAATTCATAAGCATAAAAATCGGACATCAACATCGAAAAGTTACTAGAAACTAGAAGTCTATATAAAGACGCGAGGCAGCCTCGTCAGTTACATGCATTTCAACAAACATGTAGCATGCTTTATCAACATCGGTGACTGAAAATGGCATTTACTTTCGAAAGCTTTTTTTTACAATGGCTTTGCCAATCAGTTAACTCCCTTGCCTCGGGAAGATGATCTTCATCTAATAATGCTGAGAATGCTCATATGTGGTGCAGTTTCTCATTAACAGATCACATACTGCCAACGTTTCATTACCATATTTCAAAGATTGAGGCTCTGTACACAAAGTTTCTCAAGTTTCCGTCACACTGTGCGAGTCGTCACTTCGGTGACTGGCTGTCACATATCAGATCGAATTTAAACATTTTCTGAATCTGGTAACTCTACATACTGAATACTATGCAATTTACATTGTCTACAAAAATCAACCGATGTTCATAAAAAAAAAACACCCAAAAAATGCATATTGTGTATATGTCCATATTTTATTTCAAAAAGGACATTTGATAAAGGCCCCTCTTGTCCAGTTCATGTATCTTGATACAATCTTTTCCTTCTCAGGGAGCATATATATCATTCATATAAAGTCGCATGAAACTGAACAATGAATCAAAATTTGTAATTACGACTCTCAAATCGCAACTTGCAACTCGAAAATGATCAATCACAATAAACGTTTGATCAAATTTGCTAGGATAGCCAAATCACTCCAACGTAGCTCCCTTTACAATCAACCAACGTACATTATATGGTTCTATATACAATTCACGGGGGCTGTAAAGGTTGTCTTGGCTCCTAGGCTCCTTGGCTCCTAGGCTCCTTGGCTCCGTGGCTCCGTGGCTCCGTGGCTTTCGCAACACGGAGAAGAACCTCCTTCAAACACGCCCAACCAGATGTGTTATAATGTTAAAGTTTAGGCACAGATATCGTTTACACAATGTCAACATTGCAATAGATCCAGTCGGAGGCAGTCCTTTATCTTTGGCAATCTGATCGCCATGGCACCACTCACAGAACCTCTGTAAGAATTCTTGCATCGGATTCTATTTGTGCTATCCCCGGGGCTTCGTTTACTTAGGTCTATTCTCTGCTTGAATGATGAACGCCAGACCGGCTCTTCGTCGAATTCAACATGTTGACATGCGATTTGAGGAGATACTAATTTCTTCGTTGTTCGGACGGGCCATTAGGTCGTGGGGTTAATGCTGTTCGCAGCACTGTAGATGACCAAGGACATGAATTTTGATTTATGGTGACATTAACCTTTCTGCCGACGGGATTCCGCATGTCCTTTGTGGGTGATAAACGTGTTATACTGCACTTCATTATTGATGCAAGAACATTTCCCGGGACATTATATTGAGCAAGGTAAGACACATTCCGCTAAGTATTAATAAGTCGCTGCTAGATACCATTGATACCTTTGTAATTATTCGAGGGTGAGAGAAAACTGGATTTAACCTCAAGTTTGTGAGGAACTGCATAAAACTGTCAAATCAATGAAATATGTATTGATGGAAATATTGTATTGACCCTACACTATTGTAATGGTTATGGCTGGCCTTTTGAAGAAATGACCACCCGGAATAACAAATGCATTCATAGGTACACATATAGACGTATACTGCGTGTACAATGACGGTTCAACCGATTAGTTTGGTTTCTAAAGGAATGGGAACGAAATGATTTATAGACTGGTAAATGTTTGATAAGTTGTGTTTCCTGAAAGGATGAGCTAAATGTTATACTATCGCACACCGGTCCTAGCTGTCGGGCGGTGGTGCAGCACTGTGGTTTGGCGTTGCTTCCGCGCATCAAGGTACGGGCTCGACTGGCACGTGGATATCTTGCTTCCACGACCCTTTCTCTCTACCCCCCCCCCCCCCTCTCTCTCTCTCTCTGTCCCCATCTCATCTCCCTCTCTCTCTCCTCTCTCTCCTCCCCCTCTCTCGCTCCCCTCTCTCCGTCACCCTCTTCCCTCTCTCATATCTCTCCATCTCGCTCTCCCCTCTCTCCATCTCGCTCTCCCTTCTCTCTGACTCTCTCTTCCCTCTTTCTCATCTCTCTATTTCTCTCTCTTCCCCACTCTCTCTCCCTCCTCCCTCTCTTTCTCCTCTCTATCTTCCTTCTCTCCCCATCTCTCCCAATTCTCTCTCCCCTCTCTCTATCTCTCTCCATCTCTCTCTCTCATCTCATTCTCCTCCGCCACCCCTCTCTCTCCTCTTCTCTCTTAAGTGATATATTTAATTAGTGATACTTGTCACGCCAAAGACCCGGGTTCGATTCACCACAATGTGTAATTCCCATTCCTGCTGTCCCATACCGTGATATTGCTGAAATATTGCTAAAAGTGGCGTAAAACCATACTCACTCGCTGTGCCCCATACTGCAAGGATAACGTACCAAGTCACAAGACACTGTTACCGAGAACTTCTGTGTGAGGCTGCTCTATTGTCTGAAGCCAATTTCCTGCGGCAATAGATGACAGAGTATTTACTGAATTGAGCAGACGTATCTGTGCCAGACACATTCCCCGACTCTGACACTGACTTGTACGTGACATAATGCCCTCTGACATATGCACGAGTCACGCGACGCTCTATGACGTCACAAAATGACAGTCATGGAGAGGGAATATATTGGCGTCGCTTCGAGGTTTATTTTTGGTGGTATTAGACAGTGATAATCTATACCACTGAGGATGATTAATACCCAAATAGCTATTGAAGGTACAAATGTGCGTCTCGCCATCCATTAATATTAGTTGAATATAGCAACAATGTATTGACATCTGATCGCAGAGTAAAATCGGAATTGAAGTATAAATATACCGAGGAGGTAGGGAAAAGGCCACATCAAATTAATATTTAGTTCTACGTTTATTTTAATACCCAAATGATTAAACATTTTAATCACTCATTTTAATTTTTATATTATTTTATTTCATTATTTTATATATTATTATCAAAATATGACACGCCATGTAAATTGTATATACTGATTGAAACGATTTGGACAGCGTTAGGGAATGGCCATTTATTACAGGGGTGGTAGGTCAGAGGTTTTTGACACTAATAGTAGTACACTAATGTACGGAAAATAATTACCCTCCCCTAATGCTTGTCATAGTTTGTATCCCTATGTCCTTGTACATGTTAACATGACCCTCCCCAAACATGTGAATTATTTTTATGACACTCCCTTAGAGACGGTCATATATTTTTGGAGACCCTCCCTTGATACCCCCCTCCCATATAATTAATGACCTGTCCCGAAGAAG